AGGCTCACCGACACCTCTGCGGGATTAAAAACATCGAAATCACCGAAAATCCACCCAAAATTCAAAATATTCCATAAAAATCCCCGAAAAAATCCGCCCAAAATTCAAAAATCCCCACAAAAATCGACCCAAATTCAGCCAAAATCCACAAAATTCCCACCAAAATCCACCCAAAATTCATCCAAATCCACTCAAAAATCATCCAAATTTAACCAAATTCACAAAATCCACAGAATTCCATCCAAATCCACAGAAATTCACAAAAATCCCCGAAAAAATCCACCCAAAATTCAAAATATTCCATAAAAATCCCCGAAAAAATCCACCCAAAATTCAAAAATCCCCACAAAAATCCACCCAAATTCGGCCAAAATCCACAAAATTCCCACCAAAATTCCCACCAAAATCCACCTAAAATTCATCCAAATCCACTCAAAAATCATCCAAATTCAACCAAAATCACAAAAACCACAGAATTCCATCCAAATCCACCCCAAATTTAAAATATTCCATAAAAATCCCCAAAAAAATCCACCCAAAATTTAAAAATCCCGGTAAAAATCCGCCCAAATTCGGCCAAAATCAACAAAATTCCCTCAAAAATCCACCCAAAATTCATCCAAATCCACTGAAAAATCATCCAAATTTAACCAAAAATCACAAAAACCACAGAATTCCATCCAAATCCACAGGAATTCACAAAAATCCCCGAAAAAATCCACCCAAAATTCAAAATATTCCATAAAAATCCCGGTAAAAATCCACCCAAATTCGGCCAAAATCCACAAAATTCCCATAAAAATCCACCCCAAATCCACTGAAAAATCATCCGAATTTAACTAAATTCACAAAAACCACAGAATTCCATCCAAATTCACCCAAAATTTAAAATATTCCATAAAAATCCCGGTAAAAATCCACCCAAATTCAGCCAAAATCCACAAAATTCCATCAAAAAGCCACCCAAAATTCATCCAAATCCACTGAAAAATCATCCAAATTTAGCCAAAATCACAAAACCCACAGAATTCCATCCAAATCCACAGAAATTCACAAAAATCCCCGAAAAAATCCACCCAAAATTCAAAATATTCCATAAAAATCCCAGTGAAAATCGACCCAAATTCGGCCAAAATCCACAAAATTCCCACCAAAATCCACCCAAAATCCACTCAAAATCCGCTCAAAAATCATCCAAATTCAACCAAAATCACAAAACCCACAGAATTCCATCCAAATCCACCCAAAATTCAAAATATTCCATAAAAATCCCCACAAAAATCCGCCCAAATTCAGCCCAAATCCACAAAATTCCCACCAAAATCCACCCAAAATTCATCCAAATCCAC